GGGGGGGGGGGGGGGCGGTCAGAGAAAAAAAGAGTTAGAGAGACTTCCAGGGACTTCATTAATGCAACATTCATAGCAACAACATTACTGATATTATCAAGCATTCAGAATTATTGCATCATGATTTTACCAGCAATAGCCTCTTCATAGTGTTCAAGCTTTTCATGAGCCTCTCCTCTTCTAACCAGCGCTTTCAAATATGTAGGATTTAGTTCCACTGCTTTTGTGCATTCCTTGATTGTGTCCTCATATTTTTCCTAAAATGTATTCAGTAGCAATTAAGATTCAATTTAAAAAANTCCTCTTCTAACCAGCGCTTTCAAATATGTAGGATTTAGTTCCACTGCTTTTGTGCATTCCTTGATTGTGTCCTCATATTTTTCCTAAAATGTATTCAGTAGCAATTAGGATTCAAATTAACAATATTAAGAATCAAATTAACAAAATAATAGGAACAGACTAACAAAAGGCAGTAGCAGGACTAGTTACTAAAGAAAGTACATCATTTAGATGGAATTTATAAGTTGTTCCTCTTTTTTTTTTCCTGTTTCCAATATCATTTAAAAACTAAAGCAAGTAATATAAATGGATACAAAGAAGATGAAAACTTTAAAAGCTTTACTCAAACTAAAATAGCAAAGAAAGAAAGAATCAACTTAATCAATTTGAAGGAAAATAATCTCAATTTCATAGCCATCCCAAGCTAAGAAGCACGGATACTGATACAGGACACAGATACGCGATGCAACACGAACACGCCAACACAATTTTTTTTTTTAAAAAGTAGGACATGGACACGTTAGCGATAAGTTAAATAATATATATATATATGATCATGTGATAAAATAAAAATATTATCATAATAATCTTTTAATTCACCATTTCCCTAATTCTAAAAATTTACATCTACATAAAAACTACAATACAAGATATACGGATACACATTCAACATTAACATCCATAATCCAACAATCAATGACTAGGACATTTTTATTTTCAAAAATATTTCACTTTGCAAGTCGTAACACTAATTTTCATCAATTTCCAAGAGCCCTAGTTCTGTAATCCCATTTTTTCTAAAATTACTTTCATACCAAAAGTTTATTCAATTTGTATATAAATTCGTATTTGTATCCAAAATTANGCAAGTCGTAACACTAATTTTCATCAATTTCCAAGAGCCCTAGTTCTGTAATCCCATTTTTTCTGAAATTACTTTCATACCAAAAGTTTATTCAATTTGTATATAAATTCGTATTTGTATCCAAAATCANGTACAAAAAATATGCATGAATCCTAGCACTATGGCCCAATATTAAATAAGCAATCATGCTATCACACCTAACTTCACCTAATCGACGCCATGTTTGTTTCTAACGCTTTTCACAATCACGAGTATGCGCTAACATTGTGAACATCATGAATAGAAGTGACNAGCAATCATGCTATCACACCTAACTTCACCTAATCGACGCCATGTTTGTTTCTAACCCTTTTCACAATCACGAGTATGCGCTAACATTGTGAACATCATGAATAGAAGTGCCNATTATTGTGATTCATATCCCTTTAAAATTACAAAAATAACTCCTAATTATAAAATTTTCAAAAAACTGAAAATAAATCTCAAAATGTGTCCCTAGCTTNATTATTGTGATTCATATCCCTTTAAAATTACAAAAATAACTCCTAATTATAAAATTATCTAAAAAATTTTCAAAAAATTGAAAATAAATCTCAAAATGTGTCCCTAGCTTTTTGGTCACGTGTCCTCAGCGTGTCCCCAAAGTGTCCAAAACGTGTACTAAAAAAGTTTAACAATAAAAAAATGGAAACTCATTTTAACGTGTCTGAGCGTGTGCGTGTCCCCAAACATGTCCGAAAGCGACACTCTGCCCAAAATAAAATGTTCGTGCTTCTGCCAGGTTTTAATTTAGACTAGAAAATGTGCATCTAAATATGGATGGTCCAAAAGGAGTTGAGAAGAAGATGATCAAACACAACATGACACCTAAAAAGGGCGTACAATTTTCAAAACAGCAAGGATATTCCAGATACCTTAGAAAAGTTCAACTGCATTGGCTTTCTTCAACAAAACTAAAGCACTGAAATCTTTTATAAGCTTCTCCATGAGTCCATGACTTAATGGCCTCAAGGAAAAAGTAACCAGTCCACGAACTCAAAAAAGGAATAAAACTTCCGAAAATCCAAAATTACCACACATAAATCTCAACCTTTGCAAAGTCTCAACTGGAGGCTCCAAGCATAGTTATGGGATGATAGGAATGAGAGGACGACGATGACAGTTTCTGTAATATTGGGTTAGTTGGATTAGCAAGCAGGAACTTTGCTGGAGAGCAGAAGAGCTACTGCTGGCCCAGACTCCAGACATTTGCCCTATACTTGAGCAAGTTGATCTACAAAAGTTTAGGCTCCAACCAAAATTTGAGTGAAGTTTTGGTTGGCTTTAACCAAAACTTATCAATTTTAGGCCAGCATTTTTCACATTTTAACTTAATTAAAAGACATATGATAATTAGAATTAGAAATTAAAAGAAACCTGGGAACTCATTCAAACAAGATTGACAGAGAAAGCAGTACAAAAAATATGCATGAATCCTAGCACTATGGCCCAATATTAAATAAGCAATCATGCTATCACACCTAACTTCACCTAATCGACGCCATGTTTGTTTCTAACGCTTTTCACAATCACGAGTATGCGCTAACATTGTGAACATCATGAATAGAAGTGACTGAAATCTTTGACATTGGAGCTACATGGAAGAATGGCAGCACATATCACTTGATTGGAATGAAATTCTCTTGAAGATAGGAATCATTTGGAGCCTAAGTGTATTCATTCTGACGGATATTTTATGAGAACAATTATGATATGAATTGGTAGTTTAGAAAATGTAGTTCGGGAACTTTATGTGGAGAAACTAGGCGTAAATTTCTACCTACTCCTTGGAATTTGGGGTCTACTTTTGACAATCACCAAAATGCTCTAATAAGTTTCAAATGTTATATGTATTATGTCCTCCTAAACGAAAAAATCATAAAGGCATACCATTTTAAAGAAACATGCAGCACGGTTTGCATGGCATGCTGAGCGTGTTGCAGCAGATGATGGTATCTCTGGTACGACTTGTAAAGCAAGATCATACTTTAACAAAGCCTCTTCGTACTGTCCACCTCCAAACAATTTATTGCCTTCCAATTTTGCATCATTTGCTTGTGCTAAACCTTTCTGTTTTTCGACAGAGAAAACAAGGGAGATTAAATTTTTTTTACACAAAGTGCAACTTGGAAGAGTAAAACATGCTTACAGCTAGTTTCCACCAAGCAAAGCAAACTGGAACTAAAGAGAGACAAAATCAACAGATATCTTTATTAAAGATGAAAAATGATTTTAACATCAGTAAACTACTAATAGAAAGACTAGCTACAACTACATAACCTACATATAAGGCTTTATAGTTTATATCCATTGAACAAGGTAAAACAAAAATGAAAACAAAGAGAAAACCTTTGTCATATGTCTTTTAATTGAACTTATGATCTATTGTGTTTCAAGACATATAGTTATTCATCATTTCAGTATTTGACGGAAATGAGTCATTTATAAGAACCATGGGTCTTATTTGGGTCAAGTTATTTTATTGGTCATTTTTGGTAAATCTTGGTAGGGTTTATATAGTCTCGTCAAAGTCTCTTCTGTATTAACTTGGTCCCCAAGTCCTGTCAGTTATACCTATGTATTGTTATAAGCTCCTTCTAAGAGAGTGAATGAGATTGTAAGATCTTCCCATATTATGGAATTTCGCTGATCCCTTGCCAGGGTGAAGCGTGCCTCTTCTCCCCTTCACTTAAAGTGCACTAACTGTCACAGAGCCTGACCAACCTTCCTGCCACTAAATACATTGCTCACAATCTCACTGCCACCTTGAACCACTTCCATATCTCTTCATCAGCAAGTGAACCCTCCCAACCTCAACATAAGCTGTTCAAAGACTCCAGAACTTTTTTCTCTGGTAATTCCGAAAACTTCTTTTGCTAAGCTATGCAAATTCCAGTTCTCACCCCTAAAGCCTACCTACCACTACCATTGTAACCAGATAAACATAGCAGCTTTTCTTCCTTTACTCTGGAAAAACACAAGATCAGTTTTTCCTGTATCATTCTTTCTTTCATGGTTTTTATTTTTACATTTTTCCCATGTGCCAGTGGGGTGTTATTATGGTAACTGTAAAGGGTAGAAATCGCTACGGATCTCATCCCTCCACTCGAAGGATTTCGGCTGACTTGGCGTGTGCCAAAGCGACCACCCAGTAGCCTTTACCCCTCTTTGCCCGCAGGAGCTTCGTCCTACATCGGAAGAGAGTCATCTCCCCCCCTCGCATATAAGCCCCTGCACTCAAAGGAGGAGGTACCCACTAGGTCAACCGAAATCCTTCGAGTGGAGGGATGAGATCCGTAACGATTTCTATCCCTTACAAAAAGACGCCTTTTTTGTAAAGGATAAAAATCGCTACGGTTCTCATCCCTCTACTCGAAGGATTTCGGCTGACCTGGTGTGTGCCAAAGCGACCACACAGTAGCCTTTTACCCCTCTTCGCCCGCAGGAGCTTCGTCCCACATCGGAAGAGAGTCGTCTCTCCCCTTCGCATATAAGTCATTGCACTCAAAGGAGGAGGTACCCATTAGGGTCCTATTGGGGAAGAGAGGTAAAGGCTACTGGGTGGTCGCTTTGGCACACGTCAGGTCAGCCGAAATCCTTCGAGTGGAAGGATGAGATCCGTAGCGATTTCTACCCTTTACAAAAAAAACGCCTTTTTATTGGTACAAATTCTTGCACAACTCAAGGATTTCAGCTGACCTAGCGTTTGCCAAAGCGACCACCCAATATCCTTTGACCTCCATCCCACATCGGGTAGGAGTCGTCGAGTGGAGGAATAAGATCTGTAGCGATTTCTACCCTTTACAAAAAAGACGTTTTTTTGTTGGTACAAGTTCTTGCACAACTCAAGGATTTCAGGTCACGTGTGCCAAAACGACCACCCAATAGCCTTTGACCTCCGTCCCACAGCGGGTAGGAGTCGTCTTTCCCCCTCGCATATAAGCCCCAGTACTCAAAGAAGGAGGTACCCACTAGGCACCTGATCAGGTCGCTAGTGGGTACCTCCTCCTTTAAATGCAAGGGCTTATATGTGAGGGGGGAAGACAACTCCTACCCGATGTGGGATGGAGGTCAAAGGTTACTGGGTGATCGCTTTGGCACATGCCAAGNAGAAGGAGGTACCCACTAGGCACCTGATCAGGTCGCTAGTGGGTACCTCCTCCTTTGAATGCAAGGGCTTATATGCGAGGGGGGAAGACAACTCCTACCCGATGTGGGATGGAGGTCAAAGGTTACTGGGTGATCGCTTTGGCACATGCCAGGTCAGCCGAAATCCCTGAGTTGTGCAAGAATTTGTACCAACAGTAACCCTTATATTTTCTTCTTTTCTTTTGTAATTTCATGCGTTAGAATTGGGTGATCCTATACCGATCAGCCAAAATTAGCAAAGCCACCCAGAGAGAAATAACAGTGCCGCACAAAGCTACCAAGAAATGAACAATCAAAAATTAAATTAGTTCAATTTTCCCAATCCTCATTAGTCAATGCGTTAAGAAAATGCCAAAAATAAAGCCCCAAAATAAACAATTTGAAGGAGAAATCCACATTTGCACTATTTTATTTCCAAAATCCGAAAAGGACAATCATCTAACAATCCCAATCAATCACAAGTAACCCAAATGTGAAATTTAGTCTCATTAAAAACAACCAAACATTTCCATTTAGAAAAAAGCTCTCAATAGTATATAGCAGCGAAGAACCTGGTTGAGTTCATCTTCATTTGGGGGCACATGCACAGATTGTTCTTCATGTTGCTGCTGATTATTTTGTTGCTGTTGCTCATGTTCATCGCCGTCATTAATTTCGCTTTCACTAGCCGTTTCAAAGCCGTCGGAGGCGTAGCCGGACACCCCTACCGTTGCGGTATCGTCGCTCGAATCTACAGGTGATTTTGATTTTCTGGACGGATTTGAAAATTTTGAATCTTGCTTCTCTTCTTCAGTTGGAGTTTGGGTTTGAGTTGGCTCTGGTTCAATCACCACCATCCTCTCTCTCCCTCTCTCTCTCTCTCTAATTACTCTATCGATTATGTATGTGTAATTGCGTGTGAGAATTAAGGAGCGTGGGGATTTCCTTTTGGGTAACACGATGTCGTTCCAAGATTAATCGTAAAACTTCTGGAGAATCTAGACTCATCCGTCCCTCTTAAGGAAAGAATCTATCAGATTAATTTTCGAAGATGTAAGTTAGGTATCCAAAAAAGAATGGGGGAAGGAAAGGGGCGGCAGATAGCCCACGGTCCATCGACAGCTCCTTGGGCTAATTGGTAGGTAGGTTTGTCGCGTGGTTGTATGTGGATTAACCCATTGACACGATCAGATTCGTAGGGCCATGACCAATAGTTTTAGGATGGGTGGCCCAATCCATGATCTGATATGTTGGCTTGAAAGTGGCTGTAATACTAACAACGAAAATTTGGAAGTCGGTCTTCTTATATATATTTATTTAAATTTAAATCAGTCAAAAAAATTTATTTGTTATAAAGTCCATTTTTTATCAATTTTATCATACTATCCCTTCTCTTTAGAAGTGAATAAAACTAAAAATTAAAAACTCCTAAATTTTAGGAGTTTGACTAACATTAAAATTTTTTTTCTCTCATATTTATCTATATCCATATATAGATTAAGAGATTGACTAATATTAAAAAATTTTCTCTCTCTTATCTATCTATATCTATATAACAAAGTAACTTACAATTCAAATCTTAAAAGATAAACAAAATGACTTTTGCTATTCGCGGTTGAGATCATTTTAAATTTTATTTTAAAGTTAATCTAACGGCTAATATTAACACCCTAAATTTAATAGGAAAAATAGGGGTCTAAGGGTGTGTTTGAAGTGACTTTTTAAAATTATTTTTATTAATTATTTATCATGTATATTTTAATAAAAAAATAGTGTTTGAAACCGCACCACCACTACCTCTACTATCACTACCACCATCGTCACCACCACCGCAACCACCACCACTTCCACCACCACCACCATCGTTGCCACCATCGCTGCCGCTGCCATCACCACCACCATCACTACTGCCACCACCGCCACTACGGTCATTGTCGCTCACCACCACCATCACTGTCTCTTACCACTACTATTGTCGCCCACCACCTCTCACCCCAATACAAACCGATGTTTAAATTATTTTATCTTTTCTCTATTATTTGTGATTTGATTTTAAATATGAATACAAATATGTTTATTGTGTTATCATTTTTTATTATTTTGTGCTTTTAGGCACAGGTAATAACTATATATATAACTAAAACTTGACTTATTTTTTAAACGAGCTGAATTTGAATAATTTTTTAAGTTTATTTAAAAAAACAAACTACTTACAAAACTCGATTCGATTATTAATCTTATTAGCAATATAACAACCCCAGTTGCCTCAAACTTGCAAGCTACATCCCAGCAAATTGGTCATTGTTTTGTAAATTTATGCCTTTCAATATAGTTGGGTCTTAGAGGCTTGATCCTCCTTAATGTTTTATGACAATTTAAGCATTGTGCCAGCCCACGCCTACCCAGCTCTCTGGTCAACCCCGTAACAAGTGGAATGATACCCACCACCGCCTATCAAACAACTCTTAACAAACTTAAATTTCTTGATACACAATACAATCCATCTGAATTTTCTGACCAATCCCATTAAATTTTTGACTTTTGGATTGGTCAAAAATATTTTGAATGTCAAGGCCTTGATATTATAATCTCTCAGCCTCTTAATACAAGTCTTGATGATATTAATGGTTGATTACCATGTAAAATAATTCATGTGGTAATCACTAACTTAATCTTGTTCGATCATTTGTATAATAAAATTCGTTGTTTGTCAAAAAAAAAAAAAAATTACTATTTATCTTTCGTATCATTTTTTATTGGTTTTTGGCAAAGCCCTTGTCACCATCTTCAATCAGACGCCAACGCATCATTCGTTACTTTGTTTTAATTTTACATTTCAATCAAATAATAAACATGGGCACAACTCATCAACCAAAGGACCCACAAAATGTCGGTAGATGCAAAGCCATTGTCTAAACCATAGACAACTCATCAACCAAAGAAAGAAGCTGTCTAAAAAAAAACTTCAGACATGTAAGATATATATATATATATATATGCGTCCTTCTTTTTTTGTATTTGTTATAGTATTTAGATTTTTATCAATTATTCTTTTAAGTTTAATAATTGATCGCTGTAATTTAAACTAATTTAAAACATACCCCCAAAGAAAAAAGAATAACTAATCCTTGGAATATGTGAAAAAAAATTGAACTAAAAATCTNCAAAGGACCCACAAAATGTCGGTAGATGCAAAGCCATTGTCTAAACCATAGACAACTCATCAACCAAAGAAAGAAGCTGTCTAAAAAAAAACTTCAGACATGTAAGATATATATATATATATTTATGCGTCCTTCTTTTTTTGTATTTGTTATAGTATTTAGATTTTTATCAATTATTCTTTCAAGTTTAATAATTGATCACTATAATTTAAACTAATTTAAAACATACCCCCAAAGAAAAAAGAATAACTAATCCTCGGAATATGTGAAAAAAAATTGAACTAAAAATTTCTAAATTATCAAAAAATATTACTGATCTGCCCCTAAACATTCCCACAAAACATACTTTACTTGCATTGGATTCTTTCATATCCTTTAATCCAAAGAGTAGCAGTTATCATTATTAGTTGAAAAGTAACCCCAACAAAATTAATAATTGCTGATAAGGACACCAATGCACAACTCTGCCACCCTCGACGCCAATCCGGCAAAGTAGATAAGTACCAAAAGAGTACTGGACCCACCAAAAACAGTACATTAGGCCCACCACGAATATAGCTCAGGTTCATCTAAACTAAAATCAATCNAAAAAAGAATAACTAATCCTCGGAATATGTGAAAAAAAATTGAACTAAAAATTTCTAAATTATCAAAAAATATTACTGATCTGCCCCTAAACATTCCCACAAAACATACTTTACTTGCATTGGATTCTTTCATATCCTTTAATCCAAAGAGTAGCAGTTATCATTATTAGTTGAAAAGTAACCCCAACAAAATTAATAATTGCTGATAAGGACACCAATGCACAACTCTGCCACCCTCGACGCCAATCCGGCAAAGTAGATAAGTACCAAAAGAGTACTGGACCCACCAAAAACAGAACATTAGGCCCACCACGAATATAGCTCAGGTTCATCTAAACTAAAATCAATCTACGAATGTGTCGGCACACAAAAATCCAAAATACAAGAGTGACGATTTCAAACTTTGCAGCTGGATTATTAGATGTTTGATCTTGACCCCCCAAGTTTTAGCCCAATCAACGGCTATGATACTGGGACATGTTATCACATGGTGTGGGCCCCATATCCAGCCGTCTCTCTCTCTTTCTCTGTCTCTCAGCTTAGCTGTTCTTTCGAACTATGCAATCTGTCTTAGCTGTCTATTTTCGGAATTTGTTATTTTTAGAAACAAATTTTCAGGGCTTATGTTGACCGAGGTTTGTTAAATTTGAAATTGTTATTTTATTCGTATAAGGACGTAATCAATAAACAAAAAGTCTCGTTATTATAAAATTTAAAAAGAATTAAATGTACATAATTTTATTCTTATAAATAAAAAAAATTATTTCTTTGACCTATTATTTTATACAAATTCGAACCTCTTAAACTAAAAACAAGTGGTACGATGGATGGTTGTAATGTCAGATCCAACTACATAACATTGCGAGTCATTTTTACTAAACAAAGTCTTACAAAAAATGAATAATAAAAAACAAACACCCCATAAAAGAATAAAATCATTATAACATAACACCCTAAACTAGAATAAAAGATCACAAGTCTAGCTACAAAAATTATCCTAAAACAAAGACACCACCTCAATTTCATACACAAAATTCAAAAAATTTCAATACCCAAAATAGAGAGAAACAGCAAAAACATAAACAATTTGGGCCAAATTAAACTCAAAAAACTTTGTTTACACTTTACAAGAAAGAAAGTAGCAACAGAAACTTTGATGGAGGGATAAGGTTCTTCTTTCACCTCCTCCCCAAGAAAAGAATTATATTCACTTTCCTTTTCCATTTACCTTTTTTTTTTTCCCTCCTCACTGGATTTTCCCTTTCCCCTTTTTCCGGGGAAAAAAAAAACCCAAAAGAGAAAAAAAAAATATTTGAAAGAAAGTTAGAAAACAAAGTATCACTTTACATAGGCTTGCCGTGACTGTAGTGGTAATAAGAGAGATACCACCTAACAAACTTCTTCAACCCGACTTCTAATTGGATCGTGGGTTTATACCCGAGTTCCCTCCGTGCCAAGCTTATATTCGCATGGGTAAACGGAACGTCGCCGTTTCCGGGCATCTCCACAAGGTTCTTTTTTGCCTTCATCTTCAAATGCTTCTCCAAAATACTCACCATCATCGGCACAGTCACCGGCGATGTATTACCCAAATTGAAGATCCGATGCATTGCCGGACCCCGTTTCTTCCCACCTGACCCTGTACTCTTACCCGCAGTATCCAAAGACCCGACACACCCTTTCACAATATCATCGATATACGTAAAATCTCTAGCCAAATCAACCTTGTTTTTACCACGGTAAACAGTAATTGGCTTTCCCTGTAAAATATTCCGGGTAAATGAAAAATAAGCCATGTCGGGCCTTCCCCATGGACCATACACCGTAAAAAACCTCAACCCGGTTACCGAAAGCCCGTAAATGTGATTATAAGTGTGGGTAATTTCTTCACCGGCCTTTTTGGTGGCTGCGTAGAGAGAAGCGGGTCGGTCAGTGCGATCCGATTCGGAAAATGGTACCTTGTCGTTTAACCCGTAAACCGAACTGGAGCTGGCCCAAACAATTGCGGGTTGTGGGTCGGCATTTTTACAGGCCTCCAAAAGGGTCACAAGCCCAGCAATGTTACTGTGTACATAGGAATGAGGGTTCTCCATGGCGTATCTCACCCCCGCCTGCGCAGCCAAGTGCATAACGTGAGAGAAAGCCACAACATCGAAGAGCTTCGCTAACATGCGCGCATCGTTAACATCACCCTCGACGATGAAGATATCGTGAGAATTCAACAGAGCTTTTCTTGCTTTCTTCAATGATGGGTCGTAATAATTGTTGAAATTATCTAACCCAACGACGCCGTCTCCTCTTTTCTTGAGGGCCAAAGAGACGTGGGTCCCAACGAAACCGGCT